ACCTGACTTTTCAGGGGTTGATATTCTACCAGGAGATACGCTTGTTGACTTAGAATACCTAGATGATCTAGTTTTGTTTGGTGAAGATGCTGACGAAGTGCAGTCTTCTGACCACGTGAAGTAACAATGCAAGTATGTTTACGATTCTCTCCCTTCAAATCCAAGATGTTGATTCGGGATTGGTTTGTGTCAACCACTGAATTATTGATTGGCAAAGAAGTAGTTGAATGCCTCGCCCAACCCACCTATCTAGAGAGTCTTATCAGTCATGATGGCCTGGTGTATGACGAAATCGCAAAACCGATTCAACAGGCTTGATCGACTAATGCCAACATGCGTCAATATCAAACCTGATGTGTATCTGCATCGGTTTAAATTCCGTACCCCATTAACATAGAGAAATTATATTCTCAGACCAAAGCCAAGAATAGTATAGGTAGTAAAGATATCGACAGTAATAGAAAAGATTGAGAATTGAAGGCACAACTCGAAAAGAAAATATAAATTTGTGCAATAAAAACAAAGAAAGTTGTGAGGAACCAACAACCCCAGCACTTGGGGGAACATTAATGATGGATGTATCTGCACTAGTGAAAACGATTTTCAGCCATGTAATTCAAAGTCTCTAACCGTTGGTTACGATAGTCGCACAGATCCCAACCAGATAGTCTACACCTGATAACGTGGTTCAGTATGATTGTTAATAACTTCATGGACTGATGACATGTTTCGGTTTGGCCACCCCTACAATCCTGATCTACTCTTACACCAGAGGACATCAATAAACGACACAGTTGCAAAAGTAACAACATGTCAGTTTAGGTCACAGAAGTAAAATCAATGCTTTAGTTTATTAAAGATGTGTTTGTTAAATCTCGTCTAGTGCCCACCAATTCATTGGAGGAACACGTGCTCAAACAATCAGACCCGGAATTTCACTCAAAAATTATGGATAAATTAACGAGATGACTGATATATTTTCTGCGAAAACAACACTTCCATTATAGGTGAGGCGAAGAAATTCTTTAATTAGGCAGACTCTGGGCAATGGTCTATTGTTCTTTCACCAGATTCCGCTCATTCTAATTACTCATTTACATTGTGTGAAATTTAAAATTGTTGTGAGACAAGTGTACCAGTCCTAGACGGAAGGAGAAGACTGATAATTTGAAGGGACATTCTAATAAGGTTCAAAAACCGAGATCAAATTGTCTACATTTGGGGTATCGCCTCTCAAGTCGAGTAGTGAAATACTGGAATACTCCACCAGAACATTAATAAATAAAGCCGAATTGTTAAGATCAAGTATCTGAATAAAAGGGATGACCAAACAGGCCGGGTCATCAACGTTATGATGGTTAAATGTCTGATCCCAAGTGCTAATTTACACATAGAATTCGTTCTTTAACTCCAATTACGTTGTAAGGACCAGATATCGTACTTATATATATTGATGTAGGACATCTAATTTGCTATATTAGCCCCCGGACAGTTAAAATGCGAACATCTACATTTCAGAGTAAAGCACTAAGCAACAACAACCCAGCCAAAATATATAAATCAACAGGACAGAAAAGCTTACCCACACAATTAAAACAAATTTCGCAGGAGTTACAACGTCAACACGAACAAAACCATAAAGGACTTTCCCAGAAGAAAAATTATTCAGAAATTGATCCAAATCGTGACCTGATAAACACAAGACATACCATGAAATAGAACGAAAACGGTAACCTTGATCTTTCACGTCTAACGTATGAGTTAGTCCCATATATCCAAAGATTACCCTAAAGAGATCAACATAATGTGTCATTTTTACCAAGACCATTTCCCATCCAAAACATAATTAACTGCTGAAAGAAGAGCCTGTCCATTAGTATTTAGATCGATCATAACACAGTTCGCAATTGCCGGCCCGTGACCTTGAAATGAAATTATTTTCAAATCTCCTCTAGATGATTCAGATTACTCAAATAAATCTGAAAAAAATAGAACATTTTTTCGTTCAATTCAGTTGCGCTCCTAAAAGTAATGAATTAGCATTAAATAATAATTTTAGCCCAGAATTCGCTCTTGAAATACTTGCGAAATCGATTTTGTCACAGCCTCCTGATCTTCACTACTCGTTAAGAGTAGGATGTATGTCTCCAGTCACGTTTATTAGATTGTACCTCTAAATTTAGAGTAATCTAACCTACTTTGAGTCCGTTCTGAACTTAAGAAGATAAGCTGAAAGGTGAAGAGAGGGGTTTAGTATTTTGTAGGTCATCAAAGTCACCTCTGAGCTACTTATATTCTAAAAAGTTGGGATTCAGTGACGAATTTGAATTTGACAATAAGAAAGGGATATTTTGGTCGCATATTGATACTCTTCGACGTACCTATATGTTCCTGGATTGAAGGGAGAAACATTGTTCACATGGTCTGTATACTGTTCAACAAACATCGAAAAATTCAGCGGAAAGTTCTGTCGTCACAGTAGCCAACCAGTCTTCAGTAATAAGGATATTCGGTCAATAGATCCAAGATAATCTTTGCGAGTTGTTTTTCGAAGAAGGTCCAGCTTCTTCTGGTGAGGCTGATACCTGTTAGTGTAAGGCTATATATGCTACAGGTATTCTGAGTTCGATGACACCTTTACCAGTAACACCTTTATAATCGAATTTCGCCAAACTAGTCAGGGCAGAATTCGGATGTCAGCCGAACTCCTAGCAACCCCAACGATTACTATAATATCTTTTACTGTACTCTATATTTATTCTTTTTCTTTTTTACCGTCGCTTTAGATCGTCAATTACTGTGAATATTCGCATCTTTGTATTAGTATTTAAACTTAACTAATTAGTCCAACCAGTAGAACTAACCAATCAACTGCTATTATGATAGGCTATTATGGTTCTCCAACAAGCATGAGAAGCGTGTAACTGCTCCTGTGTAGTATGAATTTAAATATCAACCACTCGTACGTATAGCCAGAACGTAGCGCAAACACATGTATGTCTATGGCTTACGTAAACAAGACAGCTATTGATTATAAACCCATCTACCTACCTAACTACTTTCTGTCAGAAATTATCCATGGAAATATTCTACTTACTTGACCATTAGCTGCCTAATGTCCTACTGCTGAATTCCATCGTCAAACAAAGGATACGAATGCCAGAATTTTATGGTAAATCCGATTCAAAAATCTCCAGCAATCTCAGACTATGTTACATGTTTGACCTAGTTTATTTTTGAACCTATACAAATTCAGTCTACAACCTAGTGATATGACATAAATTAAACCAATAATACCTCATATATAGTTCGAATCCAACTACTATCTACTTCAAATTTCCACGATTTGTAAGTGAGAGTAATACAGGCGAGTTGCATAATTGCAGTACAATGAATTTATCATTTTAACTAATGTCTACTATACTCTTTGTATCTGTTGTTGTCTCATACGGCAAACCATGGCTCGACTTCCTCATTACACTTCAGTAATATTAATTCCGTTTTCGTTTCATCTGCACTCAATACGAGTTCGGAAAATATCTGGACGACCTCTGGAATTCCAAACGAATACTAAAATAAACTTCGTATGTTTCTATTCATACATTCAATTGTCACATTAATAATACCTAAACGAACGTTCAGTGCAACTGTCAGTGTATGTAAGAATGATGTTACTTCGATGTGACGCTATAACACATCCGAGCCATTGTACTTATACAACTTCGACGTCGTACTTTGTTTTATAAAATGCTGTTTCTGTTATCTAACAACCAGCTTTTTTTAAAATGTTGTTGGTTACGACGGATGTCATTATAAACTTTGCACAGAATCTGTTTAACCCCATCTGTAGCTCTTCCAGAGTTACTGCCGGTCCCAAGCCCGGGTAAAGGAAGAGAGTTGGGCATGTGGTTAGCGACCCCATCTCGTAGAAAACTAACTCGCTAGAAAACGCTCACCAGAAAAAATTATTCAAAACATTTAAACTCTGCCCTGGGAGTTAGAAGGTCTTCATTTAGAAGAACTATGACGCCTCATGGTGAAAGCCGAGTTCCTTCGGAAGTCACGAGGCCGATCCCACTTCTAACATCCAGAACAACAATTTTTATGGGTACATGGAGCGTCCGAATAGTGTGGGAGACCGGCAAGACCAGTCAAACAGCAACGGAAATGAGGAGATACAAATTGGCAGTACTGGGAATCAGAGAAACCCATTGGACCGAAGCTGGACAACAAAGGCTAAATACGGGAGAGATGCTACTATACTCCGGTCACAAAGAGGAAAATACTCCAAGCACTCAGAGAGTTGCTCTACTGCTGTCCAAAGTAGCACGAAATGCATATGTAGGATGGCGATCTCACGGATCCAGAATCATCAAAGCATCATTCAAAACAAAGAAGGAGGGGATCTTAATGAACATTATCCAATGTCATGCACCCACCAATGATAGCAAAGACGATATTGAAGACCAATTATGTGAGAGGTTACAATCAATCATGATGAAGTGCCCAAGAAACGACCTCACCATTCTGATGGGAGATCTAAACGCAAAAGTTGGAATAGACAACACCGGATATGAAGATATCATGGGACGACATGGACTGACTGGGGGAGAGAAAAAAATGGAGAGAGATTTGCAAATCTATGTGAATTCAGCGAACTGGCCATAGGCGGCACAATATTTCCACACAAACGTATACACAAATCTACATGGATCTCATGGGACCACACTACAGAGAACCAGACAGATCATATTTGCATTAATAAAAAATTCCGAAGGACAATGGAAGATGTGAGAACCAGTAGAGGAGTACAAGCGGAATAAACAGAAACAAACAAGCATGTGGAGAAGTGCATTAAAGCCGACAAGCAGAAATACGTGGAATAACGATATTTTGGTCCACAACCTGGACATGTTGGCAAAGAGAAGAAAAAGGGAAGAAAACCTAGAGATTATCAAGAATGGTTTAGTGGTAATTCAATTGACAATTTTTGCATTGGTATGGCATTTTCTAAAAAGTCTGTAAAATTCTATTCTGCATTCCGTGATTCCTATATAATTCTAGCTTCTTTGAGAATTAAAAATGTTGTCGATGATGAAGTAGAGAAAGAAGCTGATGTTCAGTATGTCATAGCATCTATCAAATTGTTGATTATCGATCAAGCTGAAATGTTAATAATGAAAAATCGGGCTACTGTACAAAAGATTGTCTCTTCACTCAATCAACGTCCAACTGTTCTTGTGTTAGCATCAGCTGCACGTATTCGATTATGTTACTTAGCTGGTTATGGTAGACGTTATCGTCAAACTCTACTATTCTCTGCCGTATCATATTTTTTGATCACATCATTATCATGTGAATGTGAAAATTTTCAAGGCCTGAATTATATACCGCCATTATCACATTACCCTGATTTGTATCCAACATTTTTACCCGATTGAGTACGTATTCCTGAACTGAAAGCATCTATTCGAACTGGACAGAAACGTCAACATTCAGATATGAATGCTATAAAGCAAGGAGATAAATCGTTAACAAATTATAAATTACATTCAATTTCATTTGTAGTTCCTGGACAAATTTCTGTTAAATCATCTTGTGTCAGTTGAAGCTAGACCACCATTGAAAACCTGGAAGCACTGGACGGCCGTTTCGTCCTAGTATGGGACTCCTCAGCAGTGCGCATCTAAAATCGCCACAAACTCCTTCTGATAATAATCATCTGCTCACTAGTGACTGACTTCAAGAGATACTCCTGGAGTTCTAGTGGGAAGCCGTTACCAGTGGAGTTCAACCAGGTCTGTTGTGAGATATCAGCTCACTTAAGACAATGGTATATGGTGGCGCAACTTCGTGGATTGGTTAAAGTTAGACATTAACACCGTTGGATGCCGGCTCAGTGGTCTAATGGTTAAGTGCTCGCGCGCGAAGCTAGTAGGTCCTGGGTTCGAGCCCCGGGTGGTGCGGGATCGTGGATGCGCACTGCTGAGGAGTCCCATACTAGGACGAAACGGCCGTCCAGTGCTTCCAGGTTTTCAATGGTGGTCTAGCTTCAACTGACTCATGATTTAAATCTGTGAAAATCATCTTGTACAAAATTGGTCAGTAAAAATAATCAATCAGATTCAGACGATGAGATAGAAATGTCGCCTAAGACGACAACTGATAATTCTCTTCATTGCCTTTCTAATTCCTGAAAAATAGATTTGTCAACAATTTCATTATTATTATCTACTAAAACACTTGGATTCACTGATTACGCATATTTATCAGGACGTAATGTTTCTATAGCCCGATTAAATGCCTTTAAACAACGAATATTACCTAGGCTACGTCGAGGTTCAGATCCTCGTGTATGTATGTGTCAGATTTCTACGGTCTTGAAGAATTGCGCCAAATTTTGCTTGCTGAATCTTTGGATTTTTGTTGTATTAATGAATATACAGAAGACTCAGGAGCTGAAAATTTTCGTACCTTGTTTGGTGATGTCCATATTCGTAGTTTGTTAATAATTGAGCGTTATTACTTCTTTCGAAAGCGAAAAATTCGTAGCTCTCAAACACTAATTTTTTATGGTCCACCAACATTTCCATGGTTTGTCAAGGAATTATACGATTTCTGACATTCAGAAAGCGAAACTAGCAGCTGCAAGAGAAGGAAATATGAAACAGCTTTACGATACAACGAAGAAACTAGCAGGGAGATATAGTAAACTGAAGAAACTAGTCAAGGATAGAGAAGGCGGGCCAATCGCTGAAATTCAAGAACAGCGGAACAGATGGGTAGAGTATTCTGAGGAACTCTTAAATAAACCAGCTCTATTGGATTCACCGAATATCGAGGCAGCACACACAGACCTTCCTATAAATGTCACTGCACCGATGGCGGAGGAAATTAGAATGGCTATCAGACATATCAAAAGTGAGAGTACGGCAGGACCTAACAATATACTAGCTGGAGCACTGAGGACAGACATCGAAGTAACTACAAACATGCTTCACCTTCTATTCAAAAAGACTTGGGAGGAGGAACAAGTGCCAATGGACTGGAAAGAATGACATTTCATCAAGATTCCAAAGAAAGGAGATCTGAGCAAATGTGAAAACTCCAGAGGCGTTACACTATTGTCAGTACCTAGGAAAGTTTTTATCAGAGTGTTTATGAACTGGATGAATGACTCAGTAGACGCCCAACTTCGAAATCAACAAGCTGGGTTCCATAATGATCGATCGTGCACAGGCCGAACTGAGACACTAGGGATCATCGTCGAACAATCTGTTGAGTGGAACTCGTCACTGTACACTAACTTCAGTGATTATGAAAAGGCATTTGACAGTGTAGACAGGATAACATTATAGAAAATTCCTCGACACTATGGAGTGTCGAGAAGATTTTCAACATTATCCAAAACTCATACGACGGACTACAATGCAAAGTAATGCATCGAGGGCAGCTGATAGATACATTCCAAGTAAGGACCGGAATCTGACAAGGCTTTCTACTCTCTCCCTTTCTCTTTCTCCTGGTGGTCGACTGTATTATGAAGACCTCGACATCTGCGGGAAAACACGGAATACAATGGACAGCCCAAAATCAATTAGACGATTTGGACTTCGCAGATGCCCTAGCCCTCATATCGCAAACACATGAACAAACGCAGATAAAGGCAGCAAGTGTAGCAGCAGTCTCTGAATCAGTAGGCCACAGCATACACAAGGGGAAAACCAAGGTCCTCAAATACAACACGGAGAACAGCAATCCAATGAAGACGGCACAGGTATTCACTGTTTGACATCACTTTTACCAGTAACACCTTCTATTATAACTCGTACCCACCAAGAGAAATCAAAAGACAGATTCGAGGAGATCAGAAGTTGTATTTGATGATTGCCAATATATCGGAATTGTCTGATCTAGTCTGGCTAGCGATTGCAGTAGATGTTGAGCACGGCGTTCCCACACGTGATCTAGTGGGGATGCATGATCGAGCGCCTTCAGCTGGGTGAGTCCATTAAAACGAATCTGGTCAGCATCCAATGTCGAAAAATTACAGAGCTATTTATTTTTGGGATTTATTTACCGCTACACCAATCACTCTTGATGGCGAATCTCTGGAGGTTATAAAATCCTTCAAATAACTGGGAAGCATCATCGATGAACAAGGAGGTTCAGATGCAGACGTAAAGGCAAGGATTGGTAAAGCAAGGGTCGCATTCCTACTGTTGAAGAACATATGGAACTCAAAACAACTTTCAACCAATATCAAAGTGAGAACCTTCAATGCGAATCTCAAGGCAGTCAGTTTCACTGTATGGAGCTGAAACTTGGAGAACTACAACAACCATCATCAAGAAGGTGCAAGTATTTATAAATAGCTGTCTACGCAAGATACTCAACATCCATTGGCCGGGTACCATCAGCAACAGCTTTTTGTGGAAGAGAACAAACCAGTTTTCAGCTGAAGGGGATATTAGGAAAAGACGATGGAGGTGGATAGGACATACATTACGTAAATCATCAAACTGCATCACGAGGCATGCTCTAACTTGGAATCCTGAAGGGGAGCGGAAAATAGGAAGGCCAGAGAACACATTGCATCGGGAAATAGAAGCAGATATGAAAAGGATGAATCACAACTGAAAAGTGCTGGAATTGTGCGGTTAGGCAAGAGTTGGATGACGAGTTCTGGTGTGTGGCCTATGTTCCTTCACGAGGGGTAACAGGCGTAAGTAAGTATTAGGATCTCTTTAATTTTGTAAAGACCTTTTTACTTTCAACCAGATTGGTTTAGGGATTATTTTGCTTCGAACGTTTACAATGTGAAAAACCTTAAGTATGAAGTTTTTCCCACCATTCCGATTACTCCAAATTTAGTTGCACCTCTGCCGATTGTCGCTTAGTACCATCAGTCAGAACGAGTGCGCGAACCTTTCGGTATTAGGTTTCAGTCTTCAGCACAAGCATTGATAAATTTTATTGACTTATTTATTACAAAATACACGAAATAGGAGATCTGGATGTGGAAGCTAAGTAAACATTTTCAAGGTTTTTCTTTATTGCCCATTTATTGAGCACCTTGTATTTATATTGTAGATGCATATGCCCTTGACCCAAAGTGATCATAAACAGTAAGTTTTCAAAAGTTATGAAACGACTTCTGAAACTTTTTCAAGAAACTGTCTCACTCATAAAGGAATATTTTTGGTCGACAAATGTGGTAGCTTTTTCCAAAGAAGTAGGAATACGTTTTTTAGACTTATTCATTGTTAAGGATTTTATAGAGAAGTTAGACTATGTTGATAAAGCACTTGAACTATTCACTGAAATTATGAAGTTCCGCAGTATATTAAAGCCATGTGTGACGAAACTTTACAAATCTTGCAGTTTCACACTACTTCCGTCGCTCAAAAGCGAGTTTGTTTGTAAGTTGATTCACATATGCGTGAGACAAGTCACGCCTAAAATTACCACAACGTTACAGTAAATAATCATAGCTTTTCACAGTTCTTTTTTATGTCTCATTACTTGGAATGGAGACCTTTGGAGAAAACGGATTGGGACACTTTCTTCTTTGTATTAAAGTTCAATATTGTAAAGAAGTAGGTTCCTTAATATACTTATGTATGTTTCTCTAGATTCTTAGATTTTTATGTTCACCTGAAGTACTGCGCGAGCTGAAATCAGAGTGGATTCATGTTTATGATGAATCGTTTGTAGATACTTTTCTGATTAAACCTCTTGTAAAGTTAGTTTTTATCATGAAAAATGTAATTATTTGACCTCATTTATTTACTGACTTATTATTTGAATTTTATACAAAAGAACTGTCATTTAACATCAGCAAGCTGTCCTGAAGTTGGTATTCTAAATGTTCATAGAACATCCACGTTTTAAAGGCAGTACGTCTGTTCTGTTTGGTCTTTACACCTCCATTTATTTCTTAGTGACGTTCTTGTTTGTATTGTTCGCTCAGTAACTATCTTATATCACTGTTAATCATTTGTGGCCACAGCGTAAAAAATATCCCAGTTTCACTGGCACTGCATGTGTATTTTCGAAGTACTTACTTATGCTTGTGAAATTTGACCGATTTTTTTTACTGTAATCGTATTATCTTACCATTTCTAACGGTTCGTTTTTCTTTTTTGCGTCAATTAAACATCTGTCTATTCTTACAGCAAGCAATATTTTTATGACCAAACTAAGGCGCTAATTAATGTGGTAGACAAATTACGAATCAAGGCATGTGAACTTCAGTCATGGTATTGTTACTGTTAACAGTATTGCTTTGCAAACTGATCTCAGTTCGATTTGATAGTTTACTGTTAACTCAACTACTTGATTGGAATCCTCAATAGGGACAAGCACTATAATTTTATGTCCACTAAACTTACTTTGAGTTGAATACGCAGAAACATATAGTTTGGTTGGTGGTGGAACCTGGGACACGCGTTCCGTCCTACTGGAACTCATCGGCTAGATATAGGCTTGAAAGGATCGAATTCATCCTATGATAACCATAGAGGAATTAATTTAACTAATATTGTGTCTAAAATACTAGCTTTAATAGTTGCCTGACGCCTAACAAAGACATTGAAATGCAAAAATGAGAAAGGTAGATGAGATGGTAGTTGTAGTTATTCAACAGGAAACTTTGGAGATAGGTTTCATGCTATTTGGAACTCTTCAGCGAGGTGTACTTTTAATCTTAAAGGAATTGATGTTCCTTGACGGATTCGATACCGTGTCACCCAGCTTCACATTCAGAGATGTTACCACTTAGCTACCCGGGCGGCGACTGACTTTCTGTAGGATGTATCTACAATTGATCAATCACTGGGTAGTGATCGGTGTGATGTATGTCAGGTCCTTCTTAGTGCAGATGAAACTATATCAACGAAGTTTCAATGTGATCACTAGTCTAGGTAACTCGACGTTTCGTGCACTATGTTGAGATGAGATGGTGGTTGGAGGTAGTCGATAGGAAACTATGAATCAAGGTTTCGTTCAACTTGGTCGGATTTGATCTGAATTACAAAGGACCTGACACAGATGGCATTGATCATTATCCAGTGATCAATCATTTGTAAACAAGAAAATCAGGCTGGCTTCAGACCTCGTCATGGCTGCATCAACTACATATCCACCATTCGTTAGGTTTTAGAACATAGACATGCTTATCGGCGTCCGACAATGATGGTTTTCTTTACTTAAAAGCAGCATTTCACTCGGTAAATCAAGAGGCTCTGTGACAGTGTCTGCCATTGAAAGGCGTACTTCGGAAGTACATAAACCTTGTGAGGTCCCTTTACTGAAACACTACCAGTCGGATGAGAGCTAATGGCAAACTGTCATCTGATTTTGCAACGTCGATTGATGTCCGGGAAGGTTGTTCACTACCTCCATTTTTGTTCGATTTCGTCATAAACCTGCTGCTGGAAATAATTTTTTCGTCAACTGAATTTTCAGTTGGTCTCCTACCAGAAGGTCCACTTATTGACCTAGAATACGCAGATGACTTAGTCCCGTTTGGTGAAGAGGTTGATAAATGCAGAGTCTTGTGGTAGCACTGAGCAAGAATGCCAGGATACTTGGGTTGCGTTTTTACCCCTCTAAATGCAGGACTGGTCTGTATCATCACTTGAACTAAGGATAAGTAGTGAAATAGTCAAACGGGTTGTCAACTTCAGTTATCTAAAAATTCTGATCAACCCTAATGGGTTGGTGTCTGACGAAATCTCTGCACAGATTCAGAAAGCTCGTTTGGCTTTTGCCAACTTTCGTCACCTATGGGGAAGGCGAGATATCCGTCTATCAATAAAAGGACGAGTATACTGCACGGCAGTTCGCTCTGTTCTACTTTACAGCTGCGAACCGTGGTCATTAATGGTTGAAGATATTGGTAAGCTACCAGTTTTTGATCACAGATGTCTTAGAAATATTGCTCACATCTGCTGGGATCACTAGGTAAGTAATAGTCAAGCTAGACGCAGAGTGTTAAGGAATGATGGCAAACCAGTTGATGAGGTTGTGAATCTTCATCGACTGAGATGGTCGGGCCACGTGTTAGGTATGTCTGTAAACCGATAACCAGGACGTGCAATGCTGACTAGTGTAGGGGATGGTTGGAAGAAAGTTAGGGGTAGCCAAACTAAAACGTGGCATCAGTTCTTGAAGTTACTAACTTGTAGTCTGAGCCACGTTGGGAGATGCAGACTACTTGGTTGGAGTCCGTGTGACTAGCGTAACCAGTGGTTGGATACTCTGTGTCATATATCTCAGAATCGATCGCAATGGCGTAGGTGTATATACGCTCTGTCTTTCTTTAAACTATGAGATCAAAATTATTTCACACCTTTCTTCCTATGAATTTAATATTTCTCTCTGAATCGTATCCTCAATGAAATGTTTTTTTACTACCGCTGAAGTAACCGTTTTTATGAATTCGATGTTCTTCTTTTTGTGCTAATAAGGCTTGGGAACGTGGATCGATGTATATATGTCCCTGGTCTAACGTTGTAAATAACTGACTGACTTATGCTCATTCTAGGATTTGAACCCAATATCTCATGTGTCAAACGTTCAGCGCGTTATCCATTTAGGTACTGCGTCCATATAGTTAATATATTGTGAAATAGGCATGGATCCCATTTCAATTTGTAATGGGTTGAATTGCTTTCGAGTAGTGACTAGTTTCAATTTCCTAACTTTAAGACAATAGAGCTAATGGTAAAAAGGCTTTATAATTCTAACCAAAAACCTCCAAAAATAGCTCTATGTGCCAATTACCTCACTCTAAATATGTTCAGTATTTCATTGGTGATAAAAGTTGAGATATATGTTTAATTTTTCATCATTTCTAGATGGAAGCCTGTATTTATATCCCTTCAAAAATCTCTGGAATCAGAGCAAAGTACACCCGATCATAAGAAAATTACAGGTAACCACCATATAAATACAGAATAAGTCGATATAACCGTATTGAATAGAAGTTCAACCATTCAGGCTAACGCAACCAAAACCCCGATCTATTCTTATGCCAGATATTGTAGTTTGTCATAATTTACATATGTATCATTCATGCGAATACCATTTTAGATTCCAAAAATGCAAAAAATGCGCGACCCTCCAATTTCTACTTATAATCAACCACCGGAAATTTCTTTATTACTCATGGAAAAAAACAAAAATCGTGAACAGGTATGTCCTTATGCCCTATTTCTTTATGCACCATCATCTATTTGAATGTCTTTCAGCAAAATGGTTTTTTAATTGAGATAAGACCTGAAGGCCCTCGCAAGTTTGCGCGTTAAGCAACTTGTATTTCGAAGTTTTTCCATACTTTAGAGAGAACAAGAACAAAGGTTGGTGCAGAATAATATGAATTCATTTTATTTCGTTAGGTTCTCATCAGCTGCTTACAACCTAAAATATTTGAAATTCAACGTTATTATAGATATTGACATACTTATACATTAGAGGGCGATGAAAGATGAACATATGTAACATGATGTAGCAAATATTTCGTTAGAGTTAATGAGGTCATAAAATTTTGTTTCGAATATATAGAGTTTGGGAGGGAAGGTTCCAGAACATTGAAATAGTGATTAGAAATCATGGAATTAAAACACATTAGATTATTATGCAATGAATTAACTGAAAATAGATTAATGTTTATAAAGAGAGATATGAATTAAAATTGGTCAATTATGAATGATGTAATTATAAAATTCAGAAAGAGTTGGAATGACGTAGTAAGTAAAGGGGGGTGGGGTAATGTTAACACGGCAAAGAAAGATTTATAACTGTTTCTTTTTGTATACAAAGATCTGGACTAAAAGCATTTAGCAGCGCTATCCACCTGTTTTGTTGCTCTTCAATGTTGGTGATTACCTTGCCTTCCTTGCTTTTCACTGGTCGTTCTGGTTTGCGGCGATTTCCGGAGAGTTTCTTTGTCGTGTCATACAATTGTCTCATGTTTCCTTCTCTTGAAGCCTTTTCCGCCGTCGTTGCTAAATCTTCCACATATTTACGTTTGTCGGTTCTGATGCTCCTCTTCACTTGTTTGTTTATTTCCGTGTATTCAGCTTGTGCCTTGGCTTTTTCTGCTCTTGTTCGGCTGGTATTGATCGCTGCCTTCTTGTTCCTCCTTTCTTGAATCTTATCCAGTGTATCAACAGTGATCCATTCCTTGTGGTGGTGCTTCTTGTGACCCAGGACCTCATGACATGTTGAAGTGATTGCCTCTTTGATCCCCTTCAAATTGCTCTCCACAGTAGTTCCTTCTCCATTGAGTAGATCATGAAAGGCCTGGAACTTGTAGCTGAGGACTATCTTGAATTTGTTGAGTTTGTTAGTATCCTGGAGAAAGGCCGTATTGAACTTTTGTGATACTGTCTGCCCCGTTGTCCAGTGCTTCTTGAGTTTCAATTTCATCTTGGCGACCAGTAAGTGATGATCTGATGCTATATCAGCTCCTCTCTTGGTTCTCACGTCTTCCATCGTCCTCCCGAACGTTTTGTTGATGCAAATATGGTCAATTTGGTTTTGTGTAGAGCGATCCCGTGAAGTCCATGTGGTTTTGTGTATGCGTTTATGTGGGAATACGGTGCCGCCTATGACCAGCTTATTGAAGGCACATAGATTTGCAAATCTCTCACCATTTTCGTTTCTTTCTCCCAGTCCGTGTCGTCCCATGATGTCTTCATATCCAGTGTTGTCCGTTCCAACCTTGGCATTGAAATCTCCCATCAGAATGGTCAGGTCCTTTGTTTGGCACTTCTCGACGATTGACTGCAGCCTATTGTAGAATTGATCTTTAGCGTCTTCATTGTAGTCGTTGGTAGGCGCATAGCATTGGATGATGTTCATTGAAATGCCCTCTTTCTTTGTTTTGAAGGAGGCTTTGATGATCCTTGATCCATGAGATTCCCATCCTATAAGTGCATTTTGCGCTTGTTTGGACAGCATCAATGCAACTCCTTGTGTATGTGGTGCATTTTCTTCTTCATGGCCGGAGTATAACAGGAGCTCTCCTGTAGTTAGTCGTTGTTGTCCAACTTGTGTCCAATGTGTTTCACTGATCCCAAGTACCTCTAGGTTGTATCTTCTCATTTCTGCAGCAATTTGGAAGGCTCTTCCGGTGTCCCACATTGTACGAACATTCCATGTACCTAAATAAATGGTTGCTCTGGTTGTCAGAAGGGGCATCGGCCTCGTAACTTCCGAAGGAATCAGGCTTTCATCATGAGGCGTCATAATTCTTCTAAATGAAGACCTTCTGACTCCCAGGGCAGAGTTTAAAAGGTTTGAATAATTTTTTCTGGTTAGCGTTTTTTTAGCGAGTTAGTTTTCTACGGGATGGGGACGCTAACCCTATGCCCAACCCTACTCCTTTATCCGGGCTTGGGACCGGCAGTAGCCCCCGGGGGGACTCCAGGCGGAGTTATATTCAATAGTTACTGAATTATAATAATATTTCAACTGTTGATGATAATTTCATAAATTTGTTCTTTAAACATTTTGTAAATCCTTACTGAAACATTTTACTGTTTATTTTAACCAATATCATATTTCTATAATTGTTGTTGTTGTTGGGAGATTGAAAAGTTAAAAATTCAAAGTGATAGGCTTAAACCAAAATGTGCTGAAATAATTTGTGGTGATGCAAAAACAACGAATAATCAAAATGAATGTAACTTTAAGAATGATTCTGCAGATAACATAGAAGATACTAGAAATAATAAAAGGATGATGAATCCTTCAGTCAAATTGGAAAGTCAAAGAATTAGCTCAAATAAAAGAAATTATTTGTCTGCTTTAAACAAAACCGCAGTGGTTAATACAAATGCTGTTAGTATATTACGTGAATGGAAATTGTATTCGGATAGAGAGAGGGAACAAAGACAAAAGTGAGATTTCTTTGCTTTTCGTGTATGAACAGAATTATTTGAAATAGTCAGTTGTATGATAAGCTTTACGCAAGTTGGTTTTGTTTGGTAAGGATTTTATTGTTGTAAGTAGGTAAAAGTAGGCTGTTAACTGAACTGACAATCAGAAAAACAAAATATAACCAAATACTTTATTTCACATTCACACTTGTGTTATTCATCATGTTAATCATGTACTTTATTGCTTGACTTTTTCAGCTAAGAATAACCAGTTAGAAGAGGTAATAACGTAAAGAAGTTGATTATTTTTAGGTAACTAATGCCATTTCCGAGCACTTTAGGCCACTCGAGAACTTTAAAATCAAGATGTAAAGTGTAGTAAGTATATTCTGAAGAGCAGTTCCATAGACATCAATAACGGCTGTCCGGAAGCTTAATACTTGTTTTTCTTGATATTTTTATTCAGTTTCAAGTCAGCTTTCATCACTTTTATGAATTAAGTGGACAAATATTAGAAGGTAGCTTAGTGTTTTACATGGTAGCTATGGCAGAGATTTTAAGTCAGTAAGTTTTACGTCTCTAGTATCTGTCAATTTAAATAACTCTGGTCTTGTAATTTTTCGAGCTCCATTCATTAATTTTTAATTAAATAGTCAGTACTTTCTGTAAATTGAACTGCATATGATTATCTTACTTATAAGACTATTTACACCGCAGGTATTCATGGATTTTAGATAAAATACTGGTCTTGAAGAAATTTTGATGGGAATTCCTGGCGAAACTATAATTTATGGACGATCCAATCGGAAATGTTTGAGCGATTTCAAAGTCACGGCGCCAATTTCGGTACCCGATGCTCACATGCGATCGATTTACAGTGAATTTTAGGGAAGACATGATAATTGAGCGGCTAAAACAAGTGGGACTAGAAAGAAGTTCTTTTATTTGTGACTGCAGTAATCAAACGACTGCTGTACCGTTCTCGGACTACCGTGATGAAGTTGTCTTTCGATGTTATTTATCTTGGAGGAGGAAGTCTGCTATAACAGGAACGTGTTTCGTTCGATTCAGATTGAGACCAAGACAAATCATGATAATTGTTGTGAATTGGATTGTAAAAGCACTAGTCACACTAGCTGCAACCTTTGCAGATGTTACCAAAGCTTCAGCAGTACAATGTACGAGTATTGTCGAGATATATGTGCAATAAAAATGACAAGCTTACACGAATCGTTCGGGGGAGTCGGAAGAATCGTTGAAATAGACGAAACAGCCCTCATATAAATCGAATGATTTTTGTGGCGCATATCTATTTGGTGCCTTCTTATACCAATGTTTACGGCTAGAGACCAACAAGCAACGACGACATAACCAATTATACGGGGGTGTTTGCAGCCAGGCACTATAATATATACAGATGATTGGAGGGTGTACAGATGCCCACATAGACTTGGTTATGTGCATCATATCGTCATCCACAAGCGCCATTTTGTGGACCCTACAACCGGAGGTCACACTAACAATATTGAAGCCATGTGGTCGAGGTTGAAAGAGTTTTTACGACCTTATCATGGCTCGAGAGGCCGACTAATATGGATAAGTTTCTCTACCGTATGCATTACGATTTTAGAACTTCTGAACCTCTTTTTAACCTTGAAAAGTTTTCGAACCATGTAAAAGAAGTGTATCCACTTTAATTCTTTGGTTTTGTATAATATATTTTTTGAAAAAAACTTTCTGTAGGCTTTGTGAATTAGAATCTGGAGCGTTTACGAATGCTGCTTATAATTCTTGGAAACAAGAAGAAGAGATGAAAATTAAATTAAATCAACTGAAAAAAATGGAACGTAATCGTTTAAATGTAATGATAAGTCATGAAGCATCATCAACAGCTAAGTTTGATCTTTGCTGTAAACGAAAAATTGCGGCTAATAAACTTAGAAATGAAAAGCGTGCCAAGCTATTGGAATTTTTAAATGAAAAGAAATTACAACAGGATAAAATGAATAAAGTAGCCAAAGAAGTTGCTAGTTCACATGAAAATGCAAAAATTGCAAAGAAGAAGTTGATGGAAGAAAAGAAAAAATCAGGTTTATTCATATTATATATTTCTTATTAATTTGTGATTTATCATAGAAAATTGTCTGATACCCAATAGTGTCCATTGCTTTGTTAATTTACATTAGTTAGTGATGGAAAGCATCTTCGAATTGTACGAAGATTCTGTGAAGTTATTCCACTTAATAAATGAATGATAATATGAATAAAATTATTAGATTTTTGTGAAACCCCATTGAGTAGAAACCATCAGGTTTAACCTTAGTACTGATACTTACAAATGAATAATAGTTCATGATGTTTTGAAAATGTTACTGTTAGGGTAATTTCGTGGTTGTTATAATTTTCTTACAAGTGATGAAAAGAGAGACTTCTGCTAGAGAAACCAGTGGTCTAGATTAACAACATTATTTTTTAGCCGACGTCTTATATGTTAATGTCTTGTCAACCTTCTTAAGTTAATTGGAAAGATTCTAAAATCTCAAAATGATCTTGTGTCAGGCTAAATTTGATTTTACAAACGTTTAACAAATGGTAAAACTGTTGTCTTTGTTTTACTTACTTTTGAATGTTTGAACACTGTTATATTTTATGACATTGACAATTGTTGGGGTTTAAGTTTTTAACATCTTTAAAATGTTTGATTTTTTTTTCGTCATACACGCTTGATCGACAGTACCTAACTCTATAAATATTCAGTTTCACGAACCACAACTATCACTAAAGATTTTCTAGGATTGAAAGTATTCAATATCTTTCAGATCATGTGTTCTCACACATCAATTAATTTTGTGTAAATTAATCAACCTTCCTAATATGATTCTACAAGTTGATTTCACTGGTTTAAAATTTTTACTAGTATTCTGTTTGGAGTTCCATATAAACGTGACCACTTTGCATTATAAGGTTTGTATTATTTCTAAAAGTAATTTTGAATGAATTAATTTTTAGCTAGTGAAATACTTAAGGAAAGTAAACAACTGTTAGATAAAGCTGCGATAAAAGCGGAAGAGGAGAAGAAAATGAAAAAAGAATTGATTAGTCAGATTCAAGCGGAAGAATTATCGGCCATAATGACGAAATCACGAAACGTAAAACAAGTGAGCTTAATATAGATGAATCTAAAGTATTACGTGATATTGTTTATGCCTTTTAGGATACTAGCATTAGTCCTCTTAAATAACCTAACGGATTTGTATCATTAACTTTAACTAAACGATAACAGAATCGTTTCAATAAGGCTTTTATATAGAAATTTAAACTGCGTTTCCAAACATTTGATAAGTTCTTTGTTACGCTTCTCTTCAACTTATCAAAAATATTCACCTTGAAATACGGAGGTGAATGTTGAATCGATTTATGAAAGTCTGATTGAAAGAAACCTAGAACTGATGGGAGTTGAAAGTTTCGTTTAATTTTTTTCGACTGAAAATACTATGGAAAAAATCGAAGCGATATACACTTTTAATTGTTGGGATAGCTCTCTAATTCCATACGCCAAATGACAAAATATATTCCAGAACGTCCTGTGAACAATTTCCATTATTCACAACATTGAGTAAGTTTTAGGAAGGTAGAAACCAGTTTATACTAAGGTCTTCATGGTTATCAGAAGTCATAACGATAAAGCTATGGGAAATTTAGTAGAAAATATTTTTTGTCAGTTTTATCATCTGTCGATGTTAGTTATGTCCACAACATCAAGTTAGGTTCCCAAAATGTGCTTTCACTTTTGTTTAATGAAAATCCTAGATAGTTTCTTATCTGAATTAAAAGAATCACTAGCTTGTAAATAAGAATGGCATAAAATTATCTCACAGACCTTGCTATTCACACTAATATTCTTTTAATATTTGAGTTTATCATTTACTGATAGCGTTCTAAAGTTTGCAAATTTGTTTGGTTCAGGTTATTCTACTTTTGATTTATTTCAGTAGTGTGACAAGAAATCTGGATATTTCTGAATTTATTTGAACACTATTTCTTATTTAATAAACGATGATAGTGATGGCGATGATAATAATAATAATAATAAGTACATAGTAGTAAGTATCGGATACAAAACATGTGTATGAGGATGGATTTTGGATGAGTAATATTGGTCACATAATTATTAGTAGAGACAATATAAAGGAGAATAATTCACTTAACTGAAAGAGAAGAGGTATGAATCAAGCCGATTTCTTGTGGTACACTCGATGGATTAACACCGAAAAGTTATAAATATGTATAGTAGACAAATGAATAGCTGGATATTCAAACGAAGTATTAGTTGGTTGGTGATAAATCGTGTCATTAATAACAATCAGATATTACAGGGTAGTAAAACTTGAAACAAATGTAGAATAAATATCTAGTCGTAACATGAAAATAATGGCAAGAAGGTGATCTTAATATTTATGGCTGGGATTTAAATATTTGAAATTTCTAAAACATACTTTCATACATAAAATGTCATCTAATCTACTAAAATCCCCCATTCTTTTCTCATATAATGGTAACAATTTAAACAACTATTATTGATGAATGCAATTAGCAAGAAACGTCTATGCACTGGTATAATTTTGACTTTCCATCATGGTTAAAGGGACAGACACACGGTTTGTGATCTTATTTTGCGTTTAAAACACTAGCTAAAGGAGTTGTAGTTGAATTTTGTTCTTTTAAATACAAACTTAACCTAATCAGATTTCAAATTCTGAATTTAAACAAAGAAATTCTAGTAAAACAACAAACTATGCAAAAAGGTACCACCAGTGAGGGTTTCGGAAATGAAAGTTTATTTGCAATAACTACTTATAATAATTTTTATTCGTCGTGTTGTGGCCCTTTATCTGACTCCAGTAATATCGTATGATTAACTGTTATCGAAATATTTATTTCTCCTATCCTCGTATAAAATCATCAACTTTAATGGCGTTAGTGAATAACGGAATTAAATAAGTCGAATAAGATAATGGATTTTTGAATGCGTATACTTTCTACACTCATTGATTTGGACAAAAAATCAGAGGAATGAAGCGAAGAGAAGAGAACGAAGCGAAATGACATGCAGTGGAGATGGTATATGAGTTAACTCCGTTTAACCAAGCGTTAATCGTTATTTATAGTCACACAAAAGCAAGCTACATACATGTAATGAATGGGATAAGAAAGGTATTTACCTATGCTTACATAAAAACAGTCAAGATTGATATGTGAATAATTAACAAGGTCAAAATGTGATTCAAGAAGAATGGATAAATTGGCCTATCCATAAGTTAGAATAAGTTGTATAAGCTTAACATAGTAACTGACACTACAGTGTACTTTAATTTGCTTAGCAGAAATATATTTATCATCATAGAAACATTTAAATAATGTTTTTATTGATGATAATTATAATTTCGTTAAGTATTTAGCTTGATTAAAAAAAAATTTTCAAATGATGAAGAATACAATGGGGAATTCCTATAGAACACCACAATTGTATTTCTATAAATCATGTGTATTTCTTGTTTAAAACTAAGACTATTCTTATGGTATAAATTCAATTAATCCAGGTATTTAAAATAAAATCATCATTGCAACTCTTCTGTATTAACATATTGACAGTAACTCTTATGAAACATTCTTTCGTAAGTTTTTTTTCTTTTGAAATCTTATTGAAAAACTAAATGGTAACATGAAGTTAAACACAATAAAAGTCAATTATAGTTTAGTATTAAACTATTTCATGCTATAAAGTTTCATTTAAATGAGTTTGATAGTATTTATTTATTTTCACAGATTGAAATCATGAGTCAGTTGAAGCTAGACCACCATTGAAAACCTGGAAGCACTGGACGGCCGTTTCGTCCTGGTGTGGGACTCCTCAGCAGTGCGCATCCACGAACCCGCACCACCCGGGGCTCGAACCCAGGACCTACTGGCTTCGCGCGCGAGCACTTAACCATTAGACCACTGAGCCGGCATCCAACCAGTGGAGTTCAACCAGGTCTGTTGTGAGATAGGAACTCACTGAAGACAATGGTGTACGGTAGCGCAACTTCGTGGATTGGTTGAAGTTAGACATTAACACCGTTGGATGCCGGCTCAGTGGTCTAGTGGTTAAGTGCTCGCGCGCGAAGCCAGTAGGTCCTGGGTTCGAGCCCCGGGTGGTGAGGGTTCGTGGATGCGCACTGCTGAGGAGCCCCATACCAGGACGAAACGGCCGTCCAGTGCTTCCAGGTTTTCAATGGTGGTCTAGCTTCAACTGACTCATGATTTCAATCTGTAAAAATTTCTAAAAATCTCCACAAAACACATTCTGATATTTATTTATTTATTTATTCTCTTCGTTTATTATTTTTCTTCACACCCTCCGACCACTTTATCTTCTCTCAACTATACGTTTCATGGTCCAATTATCTGAACATTTCTTATTACGTCATCTTATAATTTTATAATTGTTATCTCAGTTTCTATATTTTTCTAATCATTGACCTATTTCAGATTATGTAACATTGATTTGAACCTTTATTATTATTGCTTATCAAAAACTAATGCACCTGTTGTCACATCATCAATTTGTACTTTTCACATTTTACTTATTATGTAATCTTTTCCATTGTTATCATTGACTTATAAACTACCCTGATTGTTTTAATAATTTCGTATATGCATATAAATATTACTGTATATTAGAGTAAAGCCTGATGAGGATCTAATCGAAAACAATATTGTTCGCTTATATATGTTGTTCTAAATTTACAATATGGGAATATTTCAAATTATTGTATTCTGTCTGAGGGTTTCTCGAAATCTTTCATTCAAGATTTTAAACTGGATAGAGCTCAGGGACTTTAAGTATCAAGACAAACGAAATACATTTGGACCACTGAGTCGATGGTTCCCATGTTTATTAGCTATGGAAATGAAATCATATAATCTTTCTAGATCACCTAATTGAATGTTTAGGCAATCTTGAAATTGATCATTTTAGTGAACGTAAATTTAAAATCTCTTTAGCCCTATTGAACACACTTACGGGTTATGAATCCGGTGTTCATCTTGTTGTGCTCATGAGGTATGGCAACTTGAACCGATGTACATATGTACCTGATCCTACGTTGTAGCTGACGGACTTGGCCCTATTCTATGATTCATTTTGGAGTGAGTTTTCTACCTTCCGAACAGATATTGACATTGTATTTTTTAAAATTTCAATACTGTTATGTATATTGAAACAATTTATCGAAATGTTATATGCAAAGATGGATAGTGGCTAGCAGTGGAATTCAGGACGCTTGTTTCGTCTTATTTGGGATTTGTCAGCTGGATGTGCCTGTACCTCAGATTTGATGTTCACTCTGGGATTGGAACCCAATGCCGTCCGCTTCAAACGAGTCCCGAATAGGAAGAAACGCACGTCCTGGATTCCACTGCTAGCCACTATTCATCTATGCATATAACGCTTGTGAGTTAAGGCTATATCGAGGCAATAAGCACAGTATGTATATATGCCAATAAGAGATTAATCAATTGCAGTCCTAAACATCAATGGGAAGATTGAAACAAACAATCCCAAGTGAATTTAATTCATCAAAACTTTAAGAAACATTTAAACTGATGTTATCAATCATAATTCAGATTATGAGAAATTAATTTATTATTTCAAAATAGAATTGGTTCCAGTCTCATTGGTTATCAGTTTTTTTTAATCAAAAATATAATATTTAATAATTTATGTTTTAGATTGATTTAACCAATACACCCGGACATGGTTTACTAAATGAAATGTCTATAATTGAGTTAAGGGAACGCCTTAATCAATTGAAAATTAATAAACAACGTGAATTGGAAGAGAAAAGAGATGCAATAATAAATGATAAAGAACAAAAAACAAAGGTTTTATTAGAGTTACTTACTCGAATTGGCAAACACAGAAGTGTAAAAACTGTAGCTGCAACGAGAAAAATGGTAAATAATGGGGAGTAAGTTGAAAAATTCTCCATTATTTATTTTTTTTAATAAATAAAAACAACTGAATTTTGTCAACGACTTTCCCTTGAAAATGGAGTTTTAATGTTTAACATCGGTTTACTTGACTAATGCTGACTGAAAAGCTACTAGATATCGAGATGGATTCAAGACAACTTTTCTTTTCATTTAGGATTACTTGGTAGTGAATACTCATGATACTGGACAGAGTATTCATGTTTAGTATTGTATACAATAATTTGGTTCAGTTGTAATTCATCGTTTTCATATCTGCTTCTATTATCCGACGCAATGTGTTCTTTGGCCTTCCTCTTTTTCGCTTCCCTTCAGGATTCCAAGTTAGGGCTTGCCTCGTGTTGCAGTTTGACGATTTGCGTAATGTATGTCCTATCCATTTACATCGTCTTTTCCTAATTTCTTCTTCAGCTGGAAGTTGGTTTGTTCTCTCCCACAGAAGGCTATTGCTGATGGTATCCGGCCAATGGATGTTGAGTATCTTGCTTAGACAACCATTTATAAATACATGTACCTTCTTGATGGTGGTTCTCTAAGTTTTAGCTCCATACAGTAGAACTGCCTTGACGTTCGTATTGAAGATTGTGACTTTGATATTGGTTGAAAGTTGTTTTGAGTCCCATATGTTCTTCAATTGTAGGAATGCGACCCTTGCTTTGTCAATCCTCGCCTTTGCGTCTGCATCTGAAACTCCTTGTTCATCGATGATGCTTCCCAGGTATGTGAAGGACTCTACATCTTCCAGAGTTTCGCCATCAAGTGTGATTGGATTGCTGTTCTCCGCTTTGAATTTGAGGACTTTAGTTTTCCCTTTGTGTATGCTGAGGCCTACTGATGCAGAGACTGCTGCTACACTGGCTGTCTTCATCTGCATCTGTTCGTGTGTACGCGATAGGAGAGCTAGGTCATCTGCGAAGTCCAAATCGTCTAATTGATTCTGAGCTGTCCATTGTATGCCGTGTTTTCCTTCAGATGTCGAGGTCTTCATAATCCAGTCGACCACCAAGCTGGTGTTATAATAAATATTTAAACGCAACATTAGTTCCAACATTAGCTTAAGTGTATTATTCCCTCTTACTGAAATAAATAGGCTCTAAACTATCCCCAGCTTATTTTTTCCCGCATACATGTACTTTTTTAAAAACATTTCTTGAGTATTCGAACTTCATCAGAACAGTATTGATAGAGATCCTCTATCCGAGCTTTTTTTAATGTACAAGTATACGGGGTAAAATAAGCTGGAGATATTCACCACCTGTAATAAACCTCTATTCTTAAAAACTTAAGACTCTAAAATATTATTCAACCATCTCAGTTAATTACGAAATGATTACATGATATAGTGATGTATGAAACCAGTAACTTATCGATTACTAAATAGTTTTATTAGATATAACCTTTGATAAAAGATCTTGAATCCTTATATATAATTTTCTACCTATTTTTACTAGATGATAAAGGCAATAATAAAAGAATGTAAATGTATGCGGCATACACCATTAAGCTTCTATATACTTAACGTTAACAAATAAAATGAAGAGAGCTGACTGTAAAGTGTTATTTTATATGTAGATAGACCCAGCTTTCAAACCATCAATATCCAAGTGTTCTAAAGATTAATGAGGATCTGTCAAACTGTACTATCAAACAAAAAAGAGTTTAAGAATAAAATCATTATGGGAATTTGTGGAGATTGTAGTATTTTGATAAACGAATTCACGAATTGATCTAAGCTGGAACACTATTCAAAACCCGCAAGCACTGGACGGTCATTTAGTCACAATATGAGACTCCTCAGCAGTGCGCATCCACGATCTCGTACGCATGACTTGAACCCAAAACCTTCGGTCCCTCGCGCAAACGCTTAGTCTCTGCTATAACCTCCACAAATTTTTGTTTTTATAATAATTATATGCTCACTAGTGAATAAACATATTACGTTGGGAAATAGAAGCAGATATGAATAACAACTGGAAAGGATTGCCCAGGACAGGGTTGGATGGAGAGTGCTGGTGGGTGGCCTATGCTCCTTCACGAGGAGTAACAGGTGTAAGAAAGTAAATCGCTAATTAATAGCCCCAAGATAGATTTCGTGGAGTTCTGTTGAGAATCCGTTACCAATGGAGTTCAGTCCGTGTTGCGTGTAAGACAGTTATCTACTTCAGACAATGGATGAAAGGTTGCGCAAGATTGTGGATCGTTTGAAGTCAGACATTAACACGGATGGATTCCGGCTCAATGGTCTAGAGGTTAAGCGTTCGCTCTCGAAACCGAATGTACTGAGTTTAAGCTAATTATTCCTCGACTTCTTAATATTTTTCAGTAATTTCTGTATGTTCTGTAATAATTTCTACCTGTTTGCAAACTTATTGATATTTTCATTAATTTGGCAGCATATTCAACTGTAACTATTCTGTTCACATAAATAATGAAGTCATTCGTTAAACCATAAATTATTTTTTATTACTGTTTAACTTCAAACATTTTTCGAATCAATTTTCTGAAACCTACAGGCGGTTTAATTTGATGTCTTATTTTCTTTTATGCATATTAAGGAAAATATTTTGTGTATTCTGAAACTTTTAATTGAATACTGAGTTATGTCCAAATTTGTTTGTTTGAAAAGCTACTCAAATACTTGTACAAATAATGAATGTTAACTAAGAACTTTCGTCTAAATTTGAACGAATAGTTTCACAATATTTGGGCGCCGAGTTAATATGAGACATTAAAGAGGAAGAATGTCAACATTTAAATATTTAAAATGTGATAATTTGAAAACTTAATAATTATGAATATTATCAGAAGGGTGTTTTGTGTGGACATTATGATAATTTTACTAGTTAAGATCATGAATCAATCATAGCTAGACCACCATGGAAAATATGGAAGCACTGGACAACCGTTTCGTTCTATTATGGGACTCCTTAGCAGTGTGCATCCATTATCCCACCTCGCGAGATTTCAATAATTCCTCATAATTCTTTGAAATTCAAAGTCAGGAATATTTGGTTATAATGTTTTAAACATTTATTAATAATAGAATCAAAGTTTGGCTCTATCAATCGAAGTATGATAAAAGGATTAAAAGCATTGACTAAATCATCTTTTTTTGGTTCAATTGAATTGTAAATGTTTATTAATACATAAGATATAGGGAGAATTTCGCTGTCATATTTAAATAACAACTATAAACCAATCGATAAAGTTTTTTTTCACTCAGAACCAGTTTCACTCTGTATGATATTAACACCAATTATTACATTCTCCAAGATTTGATTAATAAAACATATAATTTAAACATAGAGTTTTATAACGATTTGAAGAAGGCTAAGTTTTACACTTTAAAAAATATTTTATTATCAATATATAATGAGTGGAAGTGTAGATCAAGAATCATATTCAAGAGTTTCTGTTTCATTTCAGTGATTAGAAAGAATTTCATGTATAGTATTGTGAGTAGAAAGTATACATTTAGGCAAACAATAAATATTTATCGTATGTTATGATACATGATGATTCGGTGAGATTATAATTTATGGATGAATCAATCAGTTATAAAATAACAGGTTTCAGTTTTTGGCGCGAAATTCACCCATCCATTTAGTTAAATAGAGTTTTTACATTATCTCTGATGTCAGTTTGTGATGAAAACTCTAAATTTAATTCCTAACTCTAACCATCAACTGTAAATTATAATTCTAATTCTTGACACTGGTTTATCATCCTCATTTAGTCCTTGGAGAAGATTTGTAGCTCAGGTGGATGATTTTGGTGGAGTTTTGTTCTCTGAGCTGGATGGTTTGGTCGTGGAGCTTTCATCGTTCTTCTGAACGACATCATCAGCACAAACTTCAAATAGAAGTGAAGTGTTTGAATTTCTCCATATGTGTTTTAAAGCTTGTTCTGTGCACCTCGATGTGGAAATCTTAGACAGAGGAAACTCTAAAAACACCAGAGAATTTTTAGAAGCCTGGCACTCAGGTCAATCAGCAATCAACAAGCATATCGAAATCAATCCAATTTATCAACCAATCAGAAAAATCATGCACAAACATAAGAACAAAAATCAAAACAATGGGAGACACAACCAAAACAAAGAAGTAAACAATGACGAATTTAAAGTCAATAAGTACCAATCAACATCGAGGTGCATAGAACAAGCTGTGAATCACATATGGAGAAATTCAAACACTTCACTTCTATTTGAAGTTTGTGCTGATGATGTCGTTCAGAAGAACGATGAAAGCTCCACGACCAAACCATCCAGCTCAGAGAACAAAACTCCACCAAAATCATTTAGTCCTTGTTATTAGGTGAACATTCTCAAGGTCACTTGGGCGTCACTCAAAGGTCGTTCATAAATTATTGTCTCACTGATTATTCTTATATTCTTTACATGTATGTGTACACATTTAACCATACGAAGCTGTAATAATTATACATAACATCACATTATTACTATTATTATTATTATCAACATCAATACTACTCATTAAATTTTATTAACTTGTAACACTTTAAAATAGTTTAATTAAATAATTTTAATTGTATTTTGTTATTCTTGATGGGAACTTGTCATATTGTTTATTTCAATAAATAAATAATAATTCGCTTAAATTAACTCGACAATTTAAATGTGTGTGAAAAAAGTTGTATTTTTCAAAATAAAAACAAAACAAACAGTAATAAAATTAGATGAATAAATCGATCACATCTAAAACAATCACGTAGTTACCTTCATATATTGTCGTTTAACTTAGCAACTATGTATATATGTAGTACTCTTTAAATTTATAATAAGGAACATTGTAAAATATTTTGGGATATGTAAGATAACTTGAAAATGTCATTGTATAGTGAATGAGAAAACAAATGGGAACAATCGAATGTATTTGAACATATAAAATTACGGTACATCTTATTAAAATCTGAGAACCATACAGTAGATAATTCATTTGAAAAATGTTAATCAATT